AGATGCTAATCTAAATAATAAATGCGAACTAGGACTGCTATTACAACCATCCAGGCATGAACTATACCATTGTGACATAGTTCTGAGAATACAACGAATTACCAGTTGGAATTCTATATCAACGGATGGGTCATGGATATACTCAGCCAACCAACAAGATACAGTCCGAATTGTCTGCCCAAATCAAGTGAACAAAAAAACCGAAATACAAGGGGTGGGAATATTAAGAATTACCCCGGGGTGCATCGGTTATACCAAGGATGTGACTTTGTTTACGGAAGTGGGCAAAGACAATACAAATGGTTACGTATATCAACCAAACTTAACCCTTAACCTAACGAATCTTTACCCGACACTAACCTACTTATCTGAAACAGATATTAAATTGGAAGAATGGACCCCACTAGCTGAAACCTGGACCAGCCAAGAAAAAACATTAAGCGACATCATGGAAAAGACGCAAATGATAAGAAATCATAAAAAAAAATCACAACAACGCAATCAGGACTGATTTATGAAAGATTCAGTATTAATATCCTAATCATAATAATTATCAGTATAATTTATAAATGTTGCATCGTACGCACAAAAGCGTTAAATAATACCATAATACACGAATCACCTCACGTCCATACACTGGATCTTCGACACAGATCAATTCTTCATAGCCTCGGACTGATTACGAATAAGCAAACGGCCGGATGCCTGAAGAACGATCTAAGAAATAAACTCAAATTGAAACCCTTCACATTCAACCCTCGAAGAAACCGAAACCCTCCGCCACTATACCCAACCCAATCCGTTGATAAAATCTTAAAATTCTTCAGGTTTACAAATCCAGACAGCAGAGTCTGTATGAATTTTTTTTTTAATCAATAAATTATTGATCATTCGTTTCAGTACCCAATATCGTCATGAGTGAAATGTCCGACCACTTGATAATAGACCCGACTTGCATCAAGATACGGTGCTTAAAGCATAAGCCGCTGAGCGAACTCCTGACACGATAAGAGTGTATCGAACCCATAGAGGAGTTTCATTCACTACAAAATCTCACAAACAACAGTACAAGAATTATTCTCTGCAAATTTACTAGAATTAAATATGCAGTTGAAACAAGAAAAATAAAAAACTGGAACATAAGTGAGATAAATCGTGCCCGTATTGGAAAACCGAAACCGTTACGAACAAACGATTCTAGACCCACGGAGAAAACCCGACTATTTTGTCGACTTCCCTGGATAATTGAAGAGAGTTATAGGGAAATCTCATTTTTCCAAAACTTCGTACAATTCGGACCCTTAGTGTATCATAAAGTGGTGCGAGGTAACAAAGGAGCCCTTGCTATAGGCTACGCTCAGTATTACATAACTGCTGATGCCGCAACAGCCTTAAAAGAATGCTGATATAAGGAAAAGAAGATGGGACCACAGTGATGAAACTAGGCACCACTGGCTTTGCGACGAATGGATAAACGCATCAATCTATGAGGAACACGATACCACCTGCAAATGGCAGCACCAAAATAAACTCAGGAAGGAAAAATGAAAAAACAATACCCTAAATCAGAAGTGAGAAGAGTGTATAAGGTGAATTCTACCGAAACAAGCCGACCTAACATAGGATTAGACAAAAATGGACCCTCTACAGATCTTGTTACGCTCACGGAAATTAAATTAATGGACCCTACTCCTATACCACGGGTAACCTTACAAAAAGCCCGACGAATTGACCTAACGGAAGAAGACGTGATAACAGGAATTGACCCTGAAGATAGAAGATACTTCGAATCAGCTGTATAAATTATAAGTCATAGGATAAAAAAAAATTATTGAACCATTCAATTATATTATTATTTTATTTGACGGACCCATAACTGTTTAATCTTTGACCTATTCCTTTACTCTTGTTTATGTCTAGTCTTAAATCTTTGTACTTTTTCTCTCCTCTCGACCACGCAACTAACCATATTTTTACCTTAGGATGGAAGAAATGAACGGAATTCACCTCCGAGCTGTGGCACCAGTAGATGACTCCTCCACTGCAATTCGAGTCAAATTTGATGACCCTCAACAAGAAGCTGCGGTCATCAAATTATTTAGTACTGTGGGGACCATACGCTCTGCCCCAACGATAGCAGACCCATCCTCCTCACATTATGGAGAAATCATTATTGAATTTCTTCTTGAGGATGATTACCTTGCGGCAGTATTAAGATTCTTCCCGTGTACCGTAGGGGAATGGTCACCTTACACTTCAAATGAGCACTCTTCGGAAGACGAAGATGAGGAAACAACGAACCCAATTGGGTTCACGCCACGATCGACTACACCAGTCTATGCGAAGGAGGATGACGCCGACCGACGATTACATTACCTTATACCGCACCGCGATGAACAGGGTAATCCATGGCCAGAACAGTGGGTCCATGACGACTTCATGCAATTTGGACCAGTAGATTATATTAAAACATGGCAAAGCTTTTGCGGGCCTATGGGAGTAATCAAATACATATTTAGTTGGAGTGTCACTTCAGCATTAAGAAACTTAAATAAACGTTATAAGGCGAAACATTCGCCACCTCGACATCTCACAGCCAAACTCCGGACAGGGCCATGTACGTTTATCATGGTGCCTGCAGACACTATGTTACCAAGACAGAATTAGAAGCACATAGGACCATTTGCCAATACTAAAACAGGAATGTGCTGAGAACGCACTGGTTCTGTGGAAGGGCAGTGTACCTTTCCGATTGGGATCAACATTTGCAAGACTGTAATCTAGAGACCTACGATTACAACGGGTCCCCCTTTGATAGTATAAACAAGTTGACCTTGTTTTTGCAAACTCCCTCAGCCAAACCAAAGGACCAAATTTTGTTACTCCAGGATCAAATTTCCTGTCTACAAGACTTAGAGGGGCTAGATCTAACAACCGGACAGGATAACCGCCAACTTGCGTAGCGCAAATAAAGATTGGACCAAATTAACGAGCTTTTGCCTCCTTCTATTAACTATTTTGCTTGTATATCAATAAAGAGGACCATTTATATTATTTTACTATTATTATTTATCATTATTATGTATATTATTATTTTCTTCTTGTACTACCCTAGTTGGACCCAAAACGTTACCGAGGACGGCAACGATTCTAAGCGGGGAGGGATGTTACGTGACGTTCCATTATGTTATAATTATATTTTATGATTAAGATTTCGCTCTCGAGAATTCCGTTCGGACATAGTAATAAAACACTATAGCTAGCAGTATTCGTGTGCGCGACTCGGTCGGAATGAGCGGCAGAGGCTGATTCACTCTGCTGCAGCATGTTGCGACAGCATGCTGCAGTCAGCGTGCTTAGCTAGGTAATACGAGCCGATACGAGAAGCGTAAACGTCTAAAGCTTATGTACGAGAGAGAGACGGAATTCGAGGGACAAAGAATATATAATAAACCGGCGAAAACAACCATGAGATATTAGTCAGTCAGGACTGAGCGCTAGAACAACTAGGCCGCAATATTTTCGCATTACAGAGTTCATCTCGCCGATTGAAATCTAAATTTAGTTTGATTCGTCCGAGTTATCCGGTATTATTCCTTTACTTAATTAAAAGTTGAGTTCAGTTTGAGTGTTAGTAAAAGCCAAAGAAACACAGCAACCGTACAGCAAACTTGTTCACGCCGCTAGGACCAAGAAAAAAATATAAATTAATCCACAGTATTCATTAGACATATACGAATATACGTGCACATTGGACGGACCTTACAATCTATTTAGAGAGAAATAGATAGGAGAAAGGACCGGAAAATTGAAAATAATATATAAAGGACCGATTGTCAATAACTTTATTTAAAAAATAAGTGAGTACCATATTCTTTATTGATAATAGACAACGCGAGGCGAAGAACACGCGTCTATATATATATATCTCTCTCTTTTTAATTTTCGCTCTATCATTTATTCATGTACTTAAGCTTTATAAAATAAATTTTATAAGTACTATTAAACGCGCTTGAGTATATCCATATGCTTCCCTGTTATTGCTTATTATATATATAACCGATTACGGATAAATATATACGAATACGTCCGATCGAATATCTCACGATCGCGGTATCGGGAGTTCGGATTCAAATCTACGAAGACTTTGTTATTGACGCGCGAACGGGACGGAGTGCCCGAGAGCCTGATTGCCGCCCGAGTCAAAGGCCGCTCGGCTGTTGAAAGGCCTTCGTACGGGACAAACTCGCCTCGCGCGACTTGTCACCCATCAGTCATAAAAACAAATAAATGCATGAACGTAGATCAGATAACTGTTATCAAAAATTGACTATTTCACTTTTCAAATCAAACTGTAATGACTGAAAATGCTAGCTGAATAAACATAGAAGAAAATCACGTAATTATCGATAAACATGTAAACTTTGACGTCCTACTATCATTGAGCTTATTTTCGGATTTTCTGAGGACTACCGCAAAGTGCTAGTTAATGTAAAACATGAATTAATTATCATCAGATAAGGTATTAACATTAACCCAATTATCATATAACAATATGAGTCAGTGATGGGAATGTATGAAAACTTGACATAAAACGTCCCGAATAGCTTATGTTATACGTAGTTGCATCAAATATGTATCGAATTCATCTGCTTGATTTTTTCAGAAAGGAAAGGAACATTTCAATTAGTTTTCGCAGTTGAGTTTACATGAATATTTAATGCTATCCATGAATAATAACGACGTCTGGTCGAACAAAACTATAAATAAATTTAAAAAACCATCAACGACTTTAACATCAGCAATGTCGACACCTAGCTTTAAGAGATAGAAAAATTATCTTATGGAAATTGAGGTAGACTAATAAGCCAAAGTTTCAAAATAAATAAATAATTGATTTGTTTAGTTACTGTTATGGTGTATAAATAATGTGCTATATATCAATAATATTATTATTTATTGTTAGTAGATATAAAATAAATAAACAATATGTGTTACAGGTATATTTTTCTATTAGCCAACTTGCAATATCTGGAATTAAAGTCAATCGATTAGATATGTATGGAGAAAAATATAAACCATTCAAAGGAGTGAAATACGTAACAAAAGCTGGAAAATTCCACATACGAATGTAAACATCACGATGGGATAAATAGCAATGTTTATATCCAATGATTTCTGTTATATTATATATCCTTATATAATATCCTCGCTATAATTATTTTCAACATAACTATTAGATATTAATCGACAAAATATATTTTATACATGCAGTAAAATATTTATTTGTTTTATGATGTACTAATTTATAAAACGCATCAATTCCTTATACTATTTAATAGAGCACGAATCATATTAGTTTGATTTGTTCAGATATTTTTATAGAGGGCTTTTAACTGTAACAAGTTGTTTAAAAGCGTACATTGCTATACGTCGTCAGTTCTGTTTCTCTAGGTTACAGCAGTTGGGTTAAATCGCATATATATCGTATATTTAGATGTACATTCACCAGTATTGGTTTTTTGTTTTAAACACAGCAGCTTTACGATGGAAGAGGCAATCGAATGCACGATATGGGGAAGACGAAAAGAATAAGAGAATACGAAAGTATAGAGGGAGGTAGAGAGAGTGAGAGAGAGAGAGAGGTAGCGAGAAAGAGAAAGAAAGAGATAGGCCAATCATTCAAGACATTTCAGGTCAATATTTTTAACTAAAATCCGATTACAAATTCATATTCATTGGTATTATTAGATAAAAACGTATTTACTTCCAACTTTTACTTTTCAATACATGATTTTCAAACAATGTTTGAATTTACCGAAACAGTTTTAGAGTTGAGCTTATACCTCAATAAAGAAAGTTGTAGATAATTGGATTACCTTTAGAATAAGCGATTGATATTAAATTCTATTTTGCCGAGAGAAAAGTGTAAAAACTAGAAAGGAAGACAACAAGGTAGTATTCCTGAATTCATTAGACAATGTCTTTTTTTATGACTATAAGCTGGCCTTTAGGGATTCAATGGTATATCATATATAAAATGTTAGCACAATGTGTTCTTATAGATCATTAATTTACGAGATATGGTATTTCGAAAATAACCTTTTCTTCATACTATTTTACGAAATCTTGCTCAGCCCTTATTTAAAGTTTGAAGAGATTTAAAAAATACATTTCATGTACTACCGTACTTCCATTTACTTCGAAGCATTATATTATATTTAAATCGGTAGAAAATCTAATTGAAAGTCAAGTAAAATCCTATTGCGCTTGAAAACAAGCGTGTAGTGAACAAACTCATAAGTGGGAAGGATAAATATATACAAAATAAGTCATTTTAACTGTCTATCAGAATTTCTCGAAATTAAAAAACATTAGAAAAAATGTAATCGGCATAATTTGAAAAGAAGCTAAGGGAGTCACCCTATGATACCAATGATCTCAACCTTCAAGTCTATTTTCAAGATTATTTCAATGCCAAACCTTTTTAAATGGAAATATTTTTTTAACTGAGGATTTGAAAAGAGTGATAAAGGGTACTGTTAGTATAGTTAAAATGCCCCTTCCCGGGATTGGGAAACTAAGTTTATAGACATATTTTACATGTAAAATCAATACGTTTCCTAGACACCCCCCCTAAGTCACTATACGGCCAAAAAACGATGTTTTTCAAGAATATTTTTTTAATCTGAAACTGTACATGATCCGCATCCCGAGTCGTATAGAACCCTGACGCCGCGTTGGTATCTTACCAGGCTGATCCGTTCGGGTTCGCCTGTCCTTCACCAGTGTTGGCGTCAATCGGTCCTCTCCGCGGCGGCTGCTCCGTACGCAGAGGCGCCTGCCTTTGAGGAGCCTCTCGAGGCTCACCAGTGGTCGGTCTCGTGGGCTCCGGGGTACTTCCTGGTACCCCCGGGTCGTAGTGGCACGTGTACGTGGACTGAAAGTCCACGGTTCTCCTGGGCCGCTCCTGTACGGCACTTTGTCGATTTGTGGGGTCCGTGCTCCTTAATTGCTGGACCTCCACCTGAAGGGCGGTCACCTGGTCGCTCTACCGCGCGCATACCTGATCGTGCCTCTCCAGCATCTCAAGTATGCGGTTGATCCCGACACGGTTGCGCTCGATTTCTTCCTTCAACCGCTCGGTCACGCACCGTTCCTCCTCCTCTTCTTGAAGGTGAAGCTCTTCATTCTCGAAACGACGGGCTCTTCGCCTATTCGGCGATCCGGTGGAACCCTCACGTTCACTACTAACCCCTTCCTGGGGCCCACTGGCTACGCCGGTCTCAGGCTCCTCGACGGGCTTTCGCTCATCGAGGTTGTCGAAGACCGCGAGAGTCCGCGTCAGATTCGCCTCGACCGTCTCATCGCTGTATAGCAGCATGAGTGGGTGGGTGACGAGATCCTCGGCATCCGCTGCCTCGAGCTCTTGGCGTCTGGTCTCGAGCCATCTCTCTCGGCTTCTTCTCCTGCGTTGCGCCGCGTCCCTGTCCAACGCAGCTCCTTGAAAGTCTTGGTCGATGTACTCGCCCAATAGCCAATATGCCAGCCGGACTGCTTGCATCAGCTTGGAACCATCTGTGCGCAACTCCAGCTGCGTCAGGTACCTGTCAAGCTGTGTAGAAGGCAGTTCCGATGCCCATCGGGTTATCGCATCGGCGGTATCGTCCATACCGCCTACACACGGGCGCAGGTGACGGTTGAGGTTACTTTACCTATTCGACCACTACCGTCTCGTATCGGCCAAGGCGTGAGCGGGTTGTTGCAACTTTTACTGGCAACTACTTTAATACGCCTTAAATTACAAGGCAGCAACCCACGAGGCTCGTGGGTATGTGCAGGTGCCGCGTAAACAAAGGAAGTAAGAACTTCCACTCGCGGTTACCTACCTATAGGTGGAGACTAACTGTTTGCTAGCTCCACTGGGTTAGTTAAATTAACCCCGCACACACCCGAATTGCGTGCTCTGCACTTATTGTCGCTCTGTGACTAGCACCCACTTGAAATTACTCTACGGTGTGGATAACCACTCAAATGAAAACAAATTTGTCACCTCTTTTTTTTTTTTCTTTAGAGCGACACAGGACATCTCTTCGACCCCTAGTGTTAGTATGCTCTCGGCTTACAAAAGCAATCGCTATTAGGTCGGAGAGACGTCTTTTCCCCACTGCAGAGCACGTGCCGAACGAGCCACGTATTCTTTACCCGCTCACACCTTAGCACGCATGCGCGCAAACGTCTCTCTCTCCCGGGCGTCACTCACTTTTTACGTGCAAACCAAATCCCCTTGTGTGAGTGCTAAAAACTGTTGGGCGCCATGTAACAGGCTACCGTTCAGCCGCAAATTCCGGGCAATTGTAGTTATCAATACGGCCAACCGGTGCTCTGTTAGCTGTATGCTTCGAGCACACTAACTCACCTTGCTCCGGTGTACGCGTGCGCCGAGTCCTCTCAGCGATCTAACTTAGATGTGCGAACTTTCCGAAAGAGGAGCTGATGCGCTGGCTTGCCAGCGCTCCGTCGGCCACTGCAAACAACTCGGTCGACGAACAGCTCCTTCTATGGCTTTCGCGATCCGTGTTGGATTACCGGCGCGTTCGAATCAAAATGAAAACATAAACACCGACACCGGACAAAGGGGAGACGAAATAATAAGATCGTCTCTTATTGATATCTGACCACTTTATTGGACGAAACTAATTCTGTACAAGGGACGATTTGCCGAGAGTCTGAACGCACGCTGTATCGACACAATAATTCGAATGGGGAGAGAGAGAGTAGATTTCGAAGGACGTCGCGAACTAGTCGCACGCACGCTACCTAAAAACTCACCGCGCACGCTGCGCGGGATGGCACGCAAAACATATTACAAAGTGCAGCGCACTTACCGCTGATCTGATGAGGATACGGTGGCCAACCGTATCCACTTACGCCGATGACGAACTGCCTTTGCAACCGCCCTTCGCTGCTGTTGTTGCGTTGCGCGTGGGAGCAACTGAGGTTGTAGTCGCTGCTGCCGATGCTGCACACGTTATGCAGTGTGCGCACTCGTCACTCCACTCGTAGCACAAAGTATCTATCAAATATCCCAATTGGTCACTCGGCACGGCTTTACACGTTGTTAGACTCAAGGAGAAAAAACTACGCTGTCGCCAATCTGAAGAACACAGCCATACTGGCTCGCTACCTCTCCCCTCCCGGTCATTGCCCCTAACGCGCCCTCTCTCTCTCTCTAACCTAAGCCGATCACGGCTATTACACTTAGCCACGCTCGACAGTCTACGCGAGGCGTAACGATTTTCGGCAATCGTTGCATATTATATTATTATTATTATATTATTGGACGTATTTAGAAATCTCAATTATTATTAGTTAAATACACTTTTCTGATTATAAACATTTACAATAACAATGTATCGTAATTTTTGATGTTAATTTTTGAGTGAAAATACGAAATACAGCTCTAATCTTCGTCGCTATCTTCATCAGTGACAGGAACCACACTATTGACATCAAACGAATTGGTTAGTTGTTCTGCTTGTTTTCGGATGCGTTATAAGTATCGGGCATATGCCAAGTAATAAATTATAGGTGCAATATGAGAACAATACTCAACTATCCTGTTGCTATTATCACAGTTACAACAGTATTTTGTTATACCTTTTATACCATAAGTGTTAGGCTTGTAATGCTCGTAGGACTTGTATGTGTTGCTATTGATGTGTCTTGATTTTACTTCAAATCTGATAATTTCATGTTCTTCTTTAGAATACTTATGGTCTAAATATTCACGATCGCCCAACATTTCCGGTAAGTAACATACAGCTTGCGATAATTGATATGTGTCAGAAGAGAGTATTTGTAATTCTTTAGAGTTAGTTCTGAAAAGTTTTGCAAATCGTTCAATGACACTATACTGAAAGGAGTAGTTTTCCTATTCCAGTTATTCTCTTCAACAAATTCTGCCACAGTATTTTTGACATTATTCATTTCAGAAATTCTGTCAATGATCAAATCAATTTTTCCGATATCAGACGTTTACCGAATAAATTAATAAGAAAACATGCGATTCAAGTAGTAGAGCAATGTATATTCCAGCACATCTGCGGGGGGTCTCCGGTGTGTTGAAACATACGTATGTTCCAGCACACCTGCGGGGGGGGTTCGTAACCCTTTGGTCCCCCTGGCTTAACCCTTTCATGTTAATAATAATTGTTATTGTTAACAATTATTATTAACAATATTCGTGAGGGTCCCTGGTTTAACCC